TAACTTTGCATATCTAAAAGTCATAAAAATATCTTAGTAGTGAATCATGACACCATTTATTAAATATGTCTTTATCTGAAGATTTTTAAAGCATAGTTTACATGGAATGAAACTATTGTGGGTGTATCTTCAATTCTTAAAGCTTGCTTCCCTATGTCTTGGTCAGTATTAAATTTATTTCTATAGCTTCACAATATGATCTAATAATTCAAACTCTATTTTGGTTTTTCAAATGTTCCTTGGCTAATCTTACATATTTATTTCCTCTGGGTTTTAAGATCAGCTTGTGTTGCTGTATAATATGACATGAAATGTGTCTCTCATGATCCATGGAAATTTATTTCTCACAGGTATGGGAAGCTTGGGGAGTCCTAGCTCAAAGTGCTGGCAGATTCTGGGGCTGGTGAGCTGCCTCCTAGTTTGTGGACGGTGTCTTCATGTTGAGTCCTCACATGCTAGAAAGGCAGAGGGAGCCATCAGGAGGGTCTTTCATAATGCCACTAGTACCGTTCATAGTGGCGCTGCCCTCACGATCTCTTCTTCCCACAGATGTCATGCCTTCCTCCCCAACTTCTTAAACTTTCTTCACTTTGGGGGTTGAGATTTCAATATAAGAGTTTCAGGGAAATTTACAGATTCAACAGAAATGTATGTGCTCATTTATTTCCATCTTTTGTATTTGACACTGTTCTATCACGGACTTATCCATCAAGTCCCCTAGTCCATGTTTTGTTGGCTTGTTCCTAAGTATTTTATCAAGACTACCATGGCAGATAATGTTTAAAAATTATTCATTGCCAATCATTGGTTATTGACTAAGCAGAAAGCTAATTTTATGCTAATATTTAATTCAGAGATGTTGTAAACAGTTTGAATGGTTTTAGAGTTGGTTCTCTTGGGAATCATATATGTATGCTTATTATCCATACGTGTGGCTGCCCATTAACAAAAGGTCATTCCCCAGGAACCCTCTCAGATGGGACTGTGGACTGTGGAGGGGTTGGAGGGAGTGAAGAAATGAACACTCCCTGAGAGCAGAACTAGCACTGCCAGCTCCACCGGAGAACTCTACCCTCTCCCAGGGCAAAGGTTCCGTCAAGCCTGGGCTGGCAATGATTGGCATGTGTCATGCACTCGTGGTAACTGTGTGTAGTTCCCATCCTTTCTCTCTGTAGGCACCGGCAGGTTCACCGCAGCCTCCTTTGGCTGCCTGTGTTGGGAGAAAGCACTTTAGCACGCAAGTCCCTAGAAAGTGTGAAGCCAACTTGGGCAAGGAGTCTCATTCTGAAGAGTTGGACTTTAGACCTGGGTATATTCCCGTTTGGGGGTTGATTTTATTGTTTCTGCCTCTCCCTCCGCACCCCTGGCCCCCCAGGTTGAGAAAGTATGACTGATCTATTTTCTACCTCTTCCATGTTGCAGCACACTCAAAGCTAGAGCATAGTCCTTTGTGTTTATTGCCTCATATACTGACACACTGACATGTGCTTTCTTAGTCATTCTAGAGTAAGTCTAGTCAGTTCCCAAAGGCTTCTCCTATTCCAGGGCTGAAGCATGTACTTAAACATGGCTTTCTGGGGCAAGCATTCTAGCCTGACAACTAGGACACAACCTGGGAAACCCACAACCCACATCAAAGTGCATGGGTTCAAGTGCTGGCTCTGTTCCCATGTCATGTCTTGGTACAGTCCCCATTGTTTTGATCCAGGAATGCCCACACCCAAAGCTTCCCTGAGGTCATCTGTTGTTTTTATCCCTATTCCTGAGCTCGGAGCCTCTTGCCTGGATATTTTAGAATAGGATTATTTTATGTGTTATGTCCAATTCTTGGCAGGATCCTTTCTTCTTGTGTTTTTTTTTTTTTAATTTCACAGATCCTTTCAATTGCTCAACCATTTCCACACGTGTCTCACAAATAGTTTAAAAGTGCGGAAGTGGAACAAGAAAAATCATTGTTCTCAACCACAAAATTGTGTTTTTAGGTACCTCGTGAAGTCCCTAAACACATAAACAATCACATGCTGGTTTTGGCTTATGATTAGCTGGGGTTGTTTTATTCTAACACTGTCCTTCATTAGAAATGACCCAAGTTGAGTTTTGTTTGTAATTGCATTTATGAGCCAGAGTAGCTTTCCCTTATGTTTGTCATGTAAGCTAGATAAAGCTGTTTTTAAGGTTGAGTTAGCTTTAGTTATTCAGGAATTTTTCAGGCATGGTCTTTTTGGATCCTGCTTTAACACTTTCTTCTTTGCCTCTCTTGTAACCACAGCACCTTGTGTATAATTGTTGCTCAGTGTTCACTGGGATAAAACTTTGGGTACTTACCATCACACAATTTTGAGTTCTGGCAAACTCAAGTGTGATTATCTCTCCAGAAATGCTTTGAAGACGAAGCAATGTTAGTGAAGCAAGATTTTGGTGCTGTGTATACAATAATTGTGCTGTTAATAAATCTGAAATGGTAAGAGCAGTGAGTATTAACAGTGATATATGATAGAGCACTACAATTTTTTAAAGTATGCAAATGCATGGCTTTTTATATGAGTTGAACAAATAAAAATAGCAACATACTTTTAAAATCCTTTTTAATTGAGAAACATGTTTTTTAAAATTTATTTAAGAAGATGAACTTATTTTATAGAGCTCCGAGAGAGAGTGTGTGAATATGTGGAGGAGGGCAGAGAGGGAAAAAGGGAGGAAAAGAGAGGGCTTTCTTGCATTGGTTCACTTTCCAAAAAGCAGCAACAGCTGGGGGTATGCCAGGATGAAGTTAGGAGACAGAGTCTTTCTAAGCCTCCTATGTGGGTGGTAGAAGCCCAAATGTTTGGGCCATCTCCCACTGCTATAGGGCCAGTGTGGTGGCACAGCAGGCTCAGCCATGTAGTGCTGACATCTCAACTGGATACCAGTTTCTGTCCCAGCTGATCCACTTCTGATCCAGCTCTCTACCAATGTGCAGGGAAGGTAGCAGAGGATGGCTCAAATCCCTGGGCCCATGCATCTACCTGGCAGACCCAGAGGAAACTCCTGGCTTTCAGCTTGGGACTGGCCCAACTTTGGCTGGGGTGGCCATTTGGGGGTAAACAATGAATGAAAGATCTCTGTGTAATTCTGACATCCATGCAAAAATGAATTAAAAAAATCTTTTAAAAGCATTTCATAACTTAACATTTTGAAAACCTGACAGATTATGGGAACAGAAATTTATTAGCAAAACCCCTCACATACTTGCTAATGACTCTTGTGTTTTCCTTGAGAAAATGGCTTAGTGGAGCATACTCAAGTGAATAAAATCTTTTTATTTCTGCCAAGATATTTTTGAACATATCTTATTAACTTCAAACAACTCTAAAACATACATCTTCAAACAGTAATTAAAACACTAATCAACTCTGAGTTGACAGAGTTGAATTTGAATAGTCATTGAAATAAATGTTAATGTCTGTTCAGTACAGTTCAAAACCACGTTTTTGCTTCAAAATCAAACCAAATCTTTGTGCTTAAGCCATTTCTTTAAAAATATTCATTTGGAACAAAAGTTACATTGGACTAATGTTGGAGTTGAGAGGGAGTGAGCAGTGGCACACATGTAGGGCACTGGAAAAAGATAGGGTGGGGAAACTGGAAAAAACAAAACAAAAACAACCCAACAATTTACTATAATAAAAAGGAAGAGAATGAGCCAAGAGATAAAGTAAAGTATTTTCAAGGAATGGTAAGATCATGGTGTGGGCAGTAACAAACAAGATGGCAGTGTAGCTCAGGGGTCAGGTAATGAAAGGTTCGCAACACCAGGGTAAGGCCATAGGCTTGCTGTGGTCACAGACAAAGGGGATGATTCCAAGGAGGAGTTCAAGCATGAGGCAAGCCTTGAGGATTTACTAGGCTCGAATGACCAGGGTTGGATAACTGGCTGGAAGCCAAGTGGATGAGATAAGAGGGAAAGCAAAGAAAAATGAAGTTGAGGTAAGAAACCTAAGGACTTCAGAGCTTAGAGCTAAGGCCTTTCAATACCGACACTGCATTGTTTATGTAAAGGGAATTGCAAAAGCATAATGGAGATGCTTCACTAATACAAAGTTTATTTTTCATGCTAAAATGTTACAAATTTTATTTTGTCACATTACTACCAGAGTAACAGTTACAACTGAATTAAAAAGATAGCATTTGGGGACATTTCTATTCACTACTACTGTCATAAGCACGTTTTGTTACATGAACAGCAATATAGTTACAACTGCAGAACTGCTCAACTCTTAGTGTGCCATAATGGAGTCCTCTACATAACACAAAAAGGAAATGTCCAAACACATTTTCATATTCCATATCACTGTTTCATCCACAGTCAAGGGTTAAGATCTAGTAATACCAGCATTCAAATATCTGACCAAGGGGTCAAGTTAGCAAGCATTTCTAATCATTTTGTTTTTTAGTTTACTTAGAAACTATGAGACAAAACACAGAAGGAATGGCTTGCTGGTATTTCATACCTAACACTATTACATAATGCAATTCTTTGTCTTTTGCAACTTGGCACTTGTTTTATCTCACACAATAATTAGACAATAAAAAGTACTTAGAGCACTTACAATTGCCCAACTACATCTGATATACAGTATCTCCCAGACTTCTAGTTTCTAAAATTCTGGGGGAAGAGGGACCGTGGGAACAGTCTACAGGTAGTTACACTACCTTCGGCCATTGGCCCATTACTAATCCTTTTTGTTTTTTAGTATACAAAATATGCTGAAAACGTTTCTCTTAAGTACATTTCAATTAATGTAATTAAACACAAGGTAACAACTTCCTTGTGAAGAGTTACACTTAGCTATGAAAAACTTGGCATTTATTTGTTAAATTAACTTATGTGACATTTTTAGGGTCAAATACAGATCACATTGTATCCTTCAATTGAGAGCTTGTGCTAAAGGATTACAAAGATAATTATATTAACAGCTTAAAAAATGTGGAAATTAATATTTTTATTTCTAGAGTTATTGTATAGAACTTGATTTTATCCAGATGAAGGATAAATCTCAAAAATCGACTGTAAAAATTTTTGCTTAGAATGAGTAAACAAGTTAAGATTCTGATCCCAGTGCATCACAAATAACAATATCATTTTAATGCAAAAATAATTTTTTAAAGAAATAATGTTTAATAGTTTTTTTACCCCTACCATCTCAAACATATAGCGGTTTTACCTTAAAATAAAATGCTTAGAGATATACATGTTATTTAAAAGCTAACTGTACAAAACAGAGAAATAAAACTACTTAGTTGCAGCTGAATCAAGCCGTTACTGCCTCCAGGCACTGTGAGCTAAAAGTTATGACCTGATGACATTATGTTAAGTATAACCTATAACCTAGGTTTACTTATAACCTAATCAACTTAAAATCCAAATCATATTGCTTAGAAAGATATGCATGTGCAAATTTAAAATTCTCTATTTTTTAAAAAAGTACTAATTGAAACTGTTTTCTTAAATAAGAAATAATCATCGTAGAAAGAACTGTTCAATTTAAGAACTTTAGAAAACAAATGGAATGACGGAAGGGTTAGGGCCTTGCCCTCCGACGGACTATTCAGAATGATTCCATAGTAGCAGCCTGGGACCCACACGGGGCTCGCCTTCACTTGGCTGTCACAGTCGCTGTCTTCCTATTTTAATACTGCTGTACTGTGTCACTTCCAAACTACACACCAGAGGGTCTGAAGTGAGTTGTATTTTCTTGTTAAGAATTGGTTTTACAGAAAATGGTAACAAAACAGGAACATAAAAACTACAAAGAAAGTAAAAGAAACTACATTTATCTTCTGCTGCATGCCACAGTACAGAGGATCATTTAGGAATTTCAACCAATTTATGTGATGTCTCATAATAGTCTTTTTCAAATCTCAAATACATTAATATCTATTATTTATAAATCATTTACTCTCACAATGGATCCGTTTTATGGTTTTGGGAATGATCATGAAATGTTAAACTGTAACAGAAAAATACTAGGAAGCTATACATTATGCTCCAAAGTTTTGAACAAATGTTCATTCTCCATTTCAACTGTTTCAGCTAGCAACTTAAAGCTGCTAAAATACTAGTTCCTCGGTGCGTTGACCATATACAATACCACGGTACTGTGACCATGAACACATGAACGTGACCTCTGCTTCCCTAGACAGCCCTGCTGGGTCGGCTGAGTCAGCCGGCCCTTCCTGTGACTAATCTAGAACAGATGTAGGAGTGGAAAAAGGAGGCCGGGCCCCAGTTGACACTTTTTTTTTTTTTAACCAAGGATGTGGCCTCTAAGCAAAAACCTCTCCACTTCCCCTTCCTCTACTACAAGATGACCCCACCACCCCGCTCTTCCCGCAGGACTCAGGGCAACCACGTGAGAAAAGCACAGGAAGGAACTCTGGAAGGCATATCTAAGTAATGGCCAACACCACCCAGTGTAAAAGGACAGACTTGGTTTAAATGACCACGCCACCAGGGTTTAGTTTAGCAGGAAGTTATTCCTGAAAGTTTCAGGGAAAAAAAAAATTCTACCTGCTGTCTGAAGGTGTTTGCCACGTGCCCTGGTCATTCTGAACGTACACCTGTCCTGAGCCTACACCGGAGCCGCGAGGCTGACCTAATGGAATGTTCTGATTTCCTATGGCTCTGCTTTGGGTTCACCTGGATCTGTTTTTCTAGTTTTCTTAATCTGAAGCCTGTTTTGTTCCAGGGTTATCGTGGCAGTTCCTTAACTCTCTGAAAGCAAACATAGGCAATCTTAATTTCTCTTTCACTGATCTTTTACTTCTTTTGAAATTCTAGTTTCTTCTCATTTAACTCTGCTGAAACTAGATGTTTAAAAAAAGGTCGGGGTATGGGATTTAATTTAAAGGCTCATGAACAGATTCAAAAGTGCGTCACTAAAAGCCAATGTTTCCCCACTTTCCTGCCTGTTCAGGAGATTCGGGGAATGCAACCCCTAAGATGGAGGGGCCGCAGACCGTGAGAAAGGTCTGTTCAGTTTTGGAGACATGAATGGTGATTATGCAGTGAACAGGAGATAGAGAGGGAACACACCGGAGGGATACGCTAACAGCTCGTTAATGTTTTGATTCTACACACCAAGAGGCACTACATGTGAAACCACACATAGGTGACTGTCAGGTCAGCTGCGGAGTAGCAGGCTTTGGTATCCTCCTGCAGATGTGAGGTCAAAGGGGACAGGAAATCACACACAGAGATCATGCCAGATTGAGGGAAAATACGAACAGGTGGATTGGGAAAATGCAAACACAGTCAACATATGAGAGGTGTGTGTGCGTGACCAGGAAAAGTGTGCATAGTCAGGAAACACAAAAAAGAAAAATGAACGTAAGGATATAAAGCCCATCATGAGTTCAAAGGGGGTGATTTCTACTTAACAGTAAGGATGGCTGAGTTATCAATGGAGCAAGGAAATAAGCATAACACCCCCCCCTCAAAAAAAAGCACATACCATGCATTTCCATTGTTCACTCAGGAATGTGGAGTGGAGCCATTGATAATTCAGCTTGGAGACCTCAGTGTGTCCAAAGGCAGAGTTAAACAACTGAGCGCAGCTTGCTTGGTTCCTGAGGTCAGACTGACAAATCGGTTTTGTTCTAGACTTCAGTCAGGCACTTGGGGGTCAGGGAAAGGGAAACCTGATTTCTGTCATTTGGCCACAGCAAGAAATGACCCCCCATCTACCCGGCTGCACCCCAGTAAACATATTCACCTCCCACACTTATTGGGATGCATTCTTGAAGCTTGGTAAGTGAAAATGCAAAACAGATGAGATGGAAAGCAGGAATGAAATGTAAAACAGCAGAGTCGGTCAAGTTTCTACGTGAAAACAATTTTCAGTAAGTTTAAAAAGTAGAAAACCTTAAAAAAAAAAACCCATAACTGCCAGAGGTATCATGGATCCAAGTGATACACAGATGGATTCAATTTTTTAAAAACAACACGATTCCATGCAGCCAACATTAGTTAATGACAGGGTTTCCTGGATCGTTCCTGTGAGGGACCTCACATGTGCCGGCAGGAGAGCCTGTGGCTGATGAGCGGCTGCCTACGGGCTGTGCCAGTGTCCCCAGCAGGCTTTAGGGAAAGAGGCAACATAACGACACGAAGCACCAAACCACACCAGATTCAAGATGTAACCAGAAGCTGTTCACACTCGATCGGCTGCTGAATTTCATTTTCCTGTTTCATTCACTCTTAGGAGCAACATGCCTTAACTTTGAATCTCTGCGACTTTATTTGACATCTATTAATGCTGTACAAAAGCCATGCAGTTTATTTACAGTATTGTACATTGAATGACTGTGTTTGAAAATCACATGATGACCTCACAAAACTATAATATGTGTGAAGATATGAAAAACGCATTTCGAGGTTGTTGTAAAATTTTAGGTACAGAATTTTGCAAAGGTCACTGTTATATAATCACTATCATAAAGACTGACAGAAACATGCAAATAAGTTCAACAAATTAAAAGCTAAAAATATTTAGCTAAAAGCTAAAATACCATGTAGTTGAAACAATACCACATAACAATGGAATTCATTTATAAAACAAACAAAAAAGGGCTGTTCTTTCAATGTATTCCATGAATAGCAGGTTCTCAGGGTTCTTGTATAAAAACTCAGAAAATTAAATTTCCCAAATAAGGTTCACCACCAAAATTGCTTTCAGTAGAGCTATGTATTAACTCTGATTTTTAAATAATTACTTACTGTATAACAAGGGATTTATTAGTTTTTCCCCCTTTGGGGATTCGGAGAATACCAACCAGTAAATTTGTCCCCAAGTAAAAGGTCCCAGTACGAATACACCATTAACACACTGAGGAGGCGCAGTAATGCAAGCGTACATCCTTTCAACTGCATTCCTAACATAAGTATAAACTTCAGGCTTGTTCAATGTTTAATATCTCCTAATAGGAAGTACCTCCTCTATGAGGGTTCAGAAAATAGTAGCAAGATTTTTTCCTGTGGATGCATCTCTTTCCGTTTTTACTGTTGTGGCTGAAGTACATTTAGATACTCAGACTGCCCCAGCTGGTATGTTGTGTTCCTTCCACAGTCAACATACTGGTACCTCTCCTGGGATATCTGTTCTGAGTGGCCGAAGTATGCTGTTGTCACGGTAACTCTACAAATACAAGAAATGGAGAGAAACCATTTGATTAGCACATTTCCAGGGGGCAGTCTAAGGGTTAACACCCCTGCCTCCCGCATGGGGACGCTGAGTTTGAGATGCAGCACTGCTCTGGACTCCTCCTGATTCTTGGACCTCAGAAGGCAGTGCAGATGCAGCAATCAACTGGGCTGCTGTTGCCTACTCTGGGCTCCCAGCGTAAGCTGCTGCTGCCACTGCTGCAATGAACCAGGGGCTGGCAGTGCCCTCCCCTTCTCTCTCAAACGAAGAAACATCTTTTTGTTTGTTTCTCATGGTGAGACTATGAGAACATATAAAAACTCTTTCTTTTAGATTATTTGATGAATCATAACATTATAGACATAGGCTTGTTAGAAAAATATTTCTCCAGTAGACACGTAAATCTACTTTAGCAAGTCCTACTGAAATAATTACACAAATAAGTGTATTTTTTAAAGAAATACTTGTATTTTGTTAAAGACATTAAAAAGTCATAGCATTTTAAAGTAGTTGAATAATTTTCTCATCATAGGAAAAGTGTAATGGTCAGCTAATGGCCAAAACACCAAAACTGTAAATTTATTTTCTTAAATAACACCCAAATTGTAAATTTATTAACATTCCTTCTTATTACTATTTTATAAGACTTATTTACTTACTGGAAAGGCAAAATGACAGAGATCTTCCATCCACGTTGTCACTCTCCAAACAGCTTGAGTAGCCACAGCTGGTTCAGGCCAAAAAGCCAGGAGCCAGAACCTGAGCCTGGCCTCCCACATGGGTGGTAGGGGCCCAAGGAGGTTGGCTATATTCCATTTCTTTCCCAGACACATAAATGGGAAGCAAAGCTGAAAGCATGGGTACCAGGACTTGAACTGGCACTGTACTGGGAGCCTGGCATTACAAGTAGCAGCTTAACTCACTGTGCTACAACCTTCCTTATTACCATTCCTTATTACCAGTAATGCTCATTTACCAAGGCAGCCAGGAACTGGAGGTTGGTCTCCATTTTCTCTACCATTCCCTGCTGTTTTCCTGAGTGTTTGTAACATCCAGACTGACTACGTGACAGCCATGTAATCCATCAATACTTCCCAGAGCAGCTGCTTCCTAATTTGTGAAGTGGGATAATATTTACTGGACCTCGCAGCACTCGCGTGAGACTTCAAATTCAATTGAGGTGATATTTGTAGAGATGCTGAACATGCTACAAGCCACTGATGAATTTCTAGCAAGAAATAGTTTTTGAAAAAAAAATTCATACTCACTGCATCATGAGGACTATATTATGCACTTTGATGGATAACAGTGTGCAGAAATCACTGGTAAAGAAATTAAAATATGGATACATGTTATTACATAACACATTTAAAACTCTTCCTAGGTTAAAAGTAAGGTACCATCCATTTATAATAAACAATGTACTGCCTGAGCCTTTTCTTCAAAAGACTGATATATTCATCATTTTCTTATTCTAACAATATATTTTATGTATGCATACCTCTGTAGTTATAGAGTTATTTTAATGTGTGTTACAAACTACTTATACATTTTGCTCATCTTTTAAAATTTTATTAGCTGGCTAGCTATCCACAGCTCTCTATACAGGGTTAAATCCTAAGATGATGAAAGTTGCAAAGGAGTGTAAAAATTAATAACAGTTAATCATATAAACTCCATTTTAAATTTTAATGCTTCCAAACTGTAAGTAGGTATTACACAACATTAACATTTTTTAGTTCTCCTATACTAAAATGTCAACAAGGGAATGTAAAAGGACACGTGCCTGATAACCAAGTGCTCAACAATAAAAAGTGACATGGTATATATTAATTCTGAAAATTACCAAAAAAAAGTAATGTATGTCTATAGACATACAAAAATGTGTTTATTGATTAAGAGAAAAAAAAAACAACAGAGAGAATCAGAGAGCAAGGAATATTCTAAAATGTGGTCTTAAATGAATTTGAAAAATTGGAAAAAAAAACACTCACACAGAAAAATATTCCCTAACCTTAATTCTACATACTTCATTTCTTCGTAATAGGAAGATATTAAGATGGAACTTACTACATATAACTCATTTCCTCTGCTATAACCGTAGGCACTGTGTAATCAATCTGAAAGGCAAAAGAGGGAGGCAATGAGAGTGAGGACAGAATCTCCAGCACGCCAATCATACTTCGTAATTTCAAAGTCAGAGATGCCTTCCTTTGTTAGCCAATTCTAAGCTTTCTTATTACACGCCCCCAGGAAACATTTCAAAATGAATGAAATCTCTCCCTTCCCTCAAGGTACACGGAAAGAAGGCTGAGACCCATTTAACACCCAAATTATTTCATGACTGATTCTTACTTGTTTCATATCGAGTGGACCGATATTGGTTATGTTATTTACGCGTGCCTTTCCAATAACTGTTTTTGAAAACTGAACTTGAGCAGTGATGTTTTCCACTTCAACAGAATAATAGTTATTGTTTGTTATGTTTAGTGTGTTCTGCAAAAGAAATAGAAAATATACAAGTTATTTAAAAACACGCACAAAAATACGTATGCCAATTTGATAAAATGACTTCCCCTGCAGCTATACATCATTTCTCAGGAAGGAGGAATTACAAGGAATGTCAAAGAACATCAGATGAGTTGATTTGATTTTGTGCATGAGTTCTGCGTGTATGCTATGCACAGTAAACACACATTTAAGAACAGAGCCACAGAACAACAGTATGAGAATATGCAAAAATGAATGTTAACAAATGCATTTGTGACATCAGTCAGCGAAGTAGAATGGAAACAATTTTAAATTTTCATCTGATATTTTACTAACACTCATATTTACACACCTCTATCATTATATTAGCAAGCTATTTCCTGTTCTCTCTGTAAAGTTTGATGTGCCTTTTGAATAGAAATAAATAAATCTTTTTTTAAGGTGATCTGTGCTTGAGCACACAGTTGGTAAAAACTTTTCCTTCTATATCCTCAGTTACAAAAATAAAAGTACTCACTTTTAGAAATGAACATAATCTAATTATTTTTCAAAATACTGATGGAGACCTTGTCGACCTCTTATCTCAATGCCATCTAGCTAAACCCAGTGAACACCTAAATAATAATCCTGTATCTTATGTAATGTTCAGTGTTTCTCAACTTAATTATGCAATATTATCCCCAAATGTGGCAATACTCACAGCATGATTTAAAATGAAGTGTGATATTCACATTTAAAGCACACTTTCTGGTGCTTTAAAGGCAATCTCACATGGCTTTTGAATTTATTATTACTTATTTATAGTATCTGACACTACAACAGACTTCTGAGATCCATAAATTCCAGCCATTGTTCTAAATATTGTACACAAAGGAAAATGTGTTCTGTGTTCCAAGGGGCTATTAAACTGAAAAATATCCTAAAACCATTTCCCACGCATCTGAAATGATATATAGTTAGCATGTTTTGCTTACATTTAAAACATCCATGAAAAAAGGCAATAAGAAGATAAGTCTACTAGAATATAAACAATACTTTAAATCTATTTATGGTTTTTGAATAACATCCAGTTTCTGTAATCTTTTTGAATACCTGCTATATGCACATATTTCAAAAAGCAGTTTGTACCAAAACAGTTTTTTACTCCATTTGCCATGAGCTTTTGGAGGCCTGACTTGTGAGTAGATTTTTTTAAATCACAGGTAATTATTCCATTTAATACTTCAGTCCGTTTGATTCTGTCCCTCCAAATATCCCCTTCCAAAATGCAACCACAGGCACCTTAACCACCTTAACCAGCCGGTCGAGTATCCCCTACCAAACATATCATGGGCACAATGCACCCCACACTGAAGCCCACCATCGTTACCAAGGGCATGCCTAGTACCTGTCCGTCTGATGCGGATGTTGGCACACTATGCTCTTTTTAAGCATATGCAAACATGTGAATCAGGTGGAAGAATGCCTCCTAAGTTTTTTTTTTTAAATTTGTTTTCAGGAGTGGGAGGCTACATGAAATCATCTAAAAACTTCCTAAGATGACAAGGGAATGAAAACGATACATTTCCAACACCTAACAGGTCAATTGTTGTCACCCTGCTAGAAGTTATGCAGTGTCAAATGTTGACAAGTGAAGTGGCACTGCTTTTTCTTTATCAGCAATTAACCGCTTGGCTACTTCCCCCTCCTAGAGACATCTCCGATCGACACGTGACTCTGCTTATGTGCAAATGCCAGTTACTCGCTGCTTGTCATCTTTAGGAGAAGCAGCAATGAAAGAGAAAGTCAATACGGCATAGCTATACGGGAAGCAAACTGACCAGCGTCACATTCAGCGCTGTGACAGCGATGCTGCTCTACACAGGAAGGCATGAAAGCCTACATTTTTAATATAAATGTGTACTTACTGTGATATTTAAATATATTGTGCGCTTTTGAACATCATAGCTGACATATGCTGATTTTACGCCAATATATTTCACGTCGATAGAGCGAGGGAATAGGAAAAACACAGCCAGTCCGGAAAGGAGCAGACAGACAAACACAGAAGCCATCACATAGAGTTTTCTGAAAAAGGAAGAAGAGTGTTTAAATACATGTGCCTCAAAATCGACACAATACATCACTTAGAGAAGATACTTTCAGTCCAAACTTTCCTACTCTATATTACACTAGCAGGAAAACAGGCACTTTCTCTAAATGTACACATTGTGAAAGCACTGGGCCAGGGTGGGTCTGAGTCTGCTAGTGTTAAAATGCTCTCATTTCTGCTTCTGGAGCCTGGGAACTCCGGCTTAGGACATTCGGGATATTTCTGGAGTGATGCCCCGCAGGCCCCATCAACCCCACGGGTGTCATCAGCCTTATTATGCATTTATGTACTTGATTTTCAAAATGCTGTTATTGTGGTCAAATGCCATTACAGTTTTTTTAAATTTATATATATAATATAAACATATACATTTATGTTTATATATGCAGACCTTAAATACCTTTGTCATTCTAACTCTCCTGAAATATGTCACTTCCCTATTTGGAATTTCTCCAAATTCCACAGATAAGAACTTCCTCTTCTTCAAGGTTATTCTCATAACTGGAGTTCCGTGAAACTGCTTCATGATCTTTCCCACAGGCAGCCTTCTGCAAAAACCCCGCAGCCCTCCTGTCTCTAAGCCTTGCTTGCCATTTACTTTATTTTCTTACATTTCATGTGCAATTTTTTCACACCTACTTTTTTCTATGCTTTAATGGATTTGATCTTCGCATGCTTCACAACAGCTACTAAACTGCCTCTTACAGATGTTTTAAAAAAAATATTTCTGAATTTAAAGTTGCCTAAGAGAAAAATGATTAAAAAAAAAATAAGCTAGCAAAAACGTGCTGAATCACTGTCCTAAGTACAGACTGTCACCAGTCAACAGGGCAGTCCTTAGATAATGGTGCATGCAGTGTAACAAGACAGCTTGGCAGGCATTTGGTCTAGCAGTGAAAATCCCCACATCCCCACCAGGGTGCCTGGTTTCAATTCCTAACTTCAAGTGGAGCTTATGACTAATGAGCACCCTGCCAGGCAGCTGGAGCAGCTGAAGGAGCTGGTCCGCCATCCCCACGGGAGACCTGGGCTGAGTTCCTGGCTCCCGACTGCAGCCTCACTTAGGAAGAGCTTAAGGGATGAGCCAGCAGATGGGAGCTCTGGGTGTCTCGCTGCCTCATAAATTAAGAATAATGAAATAATAAATTAATTTGCTATGACAATAAAACATCTTTCCATATACTATTTTATCTTAAATTGAAAATGTTTAGATCTTCATTACAAAATTCATTAATAACAAGTTTACTTTTGGTCCTAGGACAGCCATAGAATGCTGAAAGCGACATAGTACTAAGGAAGTTATGAAGACTGTGTGACAAATGTAGAGCAAAATTGCATTTTATTATTGCTATTTCTTAGGGCATTTAAGATGATCTCCTCTTCCACTTGAAAACTATGGGCTTGAGGATTAGGGACACATATAGTGTACAGAAAAAATGATACAGTTTTCTAATTCATGAAATCTCCTTTAAATTATAAACCAAGAGCTAAGGTTGTTGCTCCAATACCATACTCTCACTGTACTGTTCCTGGCCCCTGTGTGCTCTGCCTGCTCCCTCTGCTCCCACGGATGGTCTTCCCCAGCCCCGAGATCCTCTCCTCACCTGTGTCTGTGAGCACGGTTCAGCTGCTGCCTTAACAACAGCGTCTGCGGCTGGGCCCCCCTTCCAGGACCTCGGCAGTCTGGATGCAGTGCCACCTGCTCAGGAGGCTGAGCTCAGCCTGGCATCCTCTCGGCACTCCTAACATTGCAGCTTCTGAGTATACTTGAAAATTTGTTGGGTTCCCTCCCGCAGACACTGACACTCACCATGCAATGCTTTCAAGCCACCTAAAGTAACTCCTACAGCTTTCTATGTTGCCAACAGGATATACAATTAGAATCTTTTGTTGACCTTTTCATTTGAAAAATTACTGTTTTTCTACTTAATCTTTTAAGTCATATAAAAACACTTGCAAAGGTTTTACAAAAGTTTATCCAAACTTTCTAACATGAGAAAAAACTCAGCATGGATTTAAAAAAATATATATTTAATTGACATTATCTATCCATTTCATTATCCCTACTTAAATTTTTCAAGTCCTGTCCCACCTGGCTCTAAAACCCAGAAAATAAACACACACACACACACATACACACACACACATACACTCTCTCTCTCTTTGCTTTCTTGCCTCCTCAGTTTCAACAGTTCCTTCTGCACTACTGGGAGGAACCAACTGTATTAGACTTTATTACGTCATTTTTTCCTGTGTGTATGGTGTCTGGCCATCCCATGGTAGTAAAGTACAGCTCCTTCCCGCCTCGTTGTGCGCCTGTGCGCATGGAGCACAGCTTACCCACCTTACTCTGCCGCTGCCTGTTTATACTGCCTTTGATTAGCTGTTCTTACAAACATTAGCATAAATAACTTGTGCAAATGTCATTTTTACATTTGAAAATTATCCTTAGAATACATTCCTCTTTTTTTTAGATCTAATTTAAAAAAATATTTATCGGGCCCGGCGCGGTGGCGCAAGTGGTTAAAGGTCCTCACCTTGCCGCCCGGGATCCCATATGGGCGCCGGTTCTAATCTCGGCAGCCCCGCTTCCCTTCCAGCTCCCTGCCTGTGGCCTGGGAAAGCAGTCGAGGACGGCCCAAAGCTTTGGGAACCTGCACCCGCGTGGGAGACCCGGAGGAGGCTCCTGGCTTCGGATCGGCATAGTATCGGCCCGTTGCGCTCACTTGGGGAGTGAATCATCGGACGGAAGATCTTCCTCTCTGTCTCTCCTCTCTGTATATCTGCCTTTCCAATGAAGAAATAATAAAAATAAATCTTTAAAAAAAAAAAAAAATATTTATCTATTGAAAGGCAGAGTCAGAGATTTTGCAACCACTAGTTCCCTCCCAAAATGGACACAACAGCTGGGCTGGATCAGGCTGCAGCCAGGGACTTGGAACACCATCGGGGTCTCCCATGGAAGTGGATGGAAGTGGCACAGCCCCAGGGCTCGGCTCATCTGCTACTTTTCCAAGTGAATTAGCAAGGAGCTAGACTGAAAGTGGAGCAGCTGGGACTGAAACTCTGACTTCATATGGAATGCCAGCTTAGAAGGTGCTGGCTTATCCCAGGGTACCGTAATTCTGATACCATAGAATAAAGTATTGAACATAGAATTCCCGAACCAGAGCAAAATGCACATGTAAGCTTCTTAGATAATGCCAAATTCTCATCCACTAGTGAGACATGAATATGCCTTTTTCACTTACTGTTGTTGACAGAATAAATTACCAACTTGAGATTTTTGCCAGTCTGATAGACAGGAATGGCTTCTTGGTATACTTGATGGTTTCAAAACCATTCACATTTAAGTGCATTTTGTAATTAACTGTTCAAAACTATTTTCCACTGGTGGCTGGTCTCTTGCAGTCTGCAGCTTTGGATGGTGTAAGGACACGGGCCCTCCGTGCTCTGATCTTCGGGCATCACGTTCCACTTTGCCGTGTGTGCTATAATTTCAGTTAAGGATTGGTTTCTATCCTGTGAAATTTCTACTTCAACACTTTTTTTTCCTTTTCTCTCATTATTTCTGGATTCTAAATCATGGTTGGTAAATTTTTTCCCACTCTCAGATTATGAAAGAATTTACTCAAATTTCTTTCACATGAATATCTGTCCCACATTTTATAATGAAGGACGAGACTGTTTATATATTGGTTTATTTCCATCATCATTAACTATTACTGATTGTCTGAAGTATTCTGGTCACGCAGCACACTAGTCTGGTTTTCTATCCCTTGTAAATTGATACTTTTGCCTTATCATGCAAAGTATTTTTGCTTTTTTATTTTACCTTTAAAGTTCAGGAAATTCACTGCAAATTTTCATTTGTTGTTTGATTACTTTTTTCGAGTAACAGAATTATCTTTTCTGTATGTAGGTTCATATTTTCTTTCACTTCAGGCAAGTTTCCTTAGATGTTTAATATTCTCTTTTATTCCTTTCATTTTCTTCTTTAGGGGTTCTAATCATATACTATTCCATTTCCCTTGACTTCTGGATTATTTTTCCCTCAGATGTTTTCTGTTAATTTGTGTGTTTTCATTCCTCATCTTGACCCACTGCATTCCTTCCTGAACTTTTAAGGATATCTATTTGCACTTGTGTTCTTCCAGTTTTGTGAAAAATACCTTTCCAGCTTTTTTCTCGGAGTCTTTAGACTGCCTTTTCACATTCTCCCCTTTTAGAAGTCTCAATTCTGAGCTCACCTTCTGATGTATGTTGTTCTAATACAGCTTCTAGGTTCTTTTATTTCCTTTGTCACATTTATAATATTCAAGTTTTCATCAGCCTTCATCATCTCTCAGTGTTCTGCTGAGTTCACTTTCTTCAGCTTCTTAAAAAGTATCTGCATAATGTCTGATTAAACAATGAGTTTTTGTTCTTTTAAAGTAAGGCTCCAGAGGCTGGCATTGTGGCATTTTTTGCTTCTGATCCAGCTCCCTGTTAATGTGCCTGGGAAAACAGAGGATGACAACCCCAGTATGCAGGTCCCCGCTACCCATGAGGGGGACAGGATCGAATTTTTGGTGCTGTCTGTGGGCTGTGTTCTGACTTGCCTGTCGTGGCCATTTGGGCAGTGAATCAGTGGATGGAAAATAAGGTTCCATTTTGTGTGGTGGGAATGGGCCAGGACTGCTTACTTAGCTTCGGTGATCAAGGGCTCCATCCTTTGTGATTACAGAAGAATTTAAAGAGATGACCCCTGTGTGGATTTACTTGCATAGGTCTAAGATAATCTGTCTAGGTTGTGAACCTTTTCTATTCTTTATTCCTAATTGTTTCTCCTATGATGTCTCTGACTCTGTCTGCACAGGTTTTTCCTGGGGATTCTTAAGTTCTCTGATGACTAAGGGTGGTCTATTTCCTTCTGATTTTCTCAAGGCCTCTCCATGGTTCCTGCGGTCTTTTTGCATTCTCCAAGCTATAGCATGCAGAATCTTCCCATTTTAAGTTCATCCTTGGAAGTAACTGCTGGGCATTCTCCAAAGAGTGTCTTGTTTACTAGGGGAAAATGGTTTGCAGGCCAGGGATCGTAAGAAATGTAGGAATTCCTTGGGTGCTTCAAAATAACCTCAGAGTGGCCACACAGTGCCTCTGGGCCCTTCTTGACATTACGGTTTAAATATTCAAACACCTTATCATGCACCTTTAATGACACGTTTGCCTGTGTGTGCCATTCCACACAGCTAGTCCAGATCTGTTTTAATAAAAGGATTTGAGAAGACACAGCTAATGTGTTACTCTCTAGACCTTACCACGGCCAGGCATTGTCTAATGACTCAAAGCATATGATGACAGAACAACCTGCAGCATTTTCCCTGCAAATAGTTTTTAACTAAACCATGCACAATGTACATACTTACGTAAGTGATATAATATACATCTACACATATATATGTAGGAAGAACATATATATATGAAGAACTGACATTTTCTCAAAGTGACTTACGTTCTTCTTGGCCTCAATCTCTGATCACTATATGGAATCAATGCCACCAGTTGGTTTTCTTGTCCTAAAAATAAAAGAAGTTTAGAAATCCATTAACCAAGATTAATGAAAAATATAGAGGCGTCTCTCTGCAATTTGGTTTGGAAAAATGAGAGTACCATCTGGTTCTCTTCCCATTGTGTTTTCTCATACCCGGATGTCTAGCTAATTTAAAATAGTACCAAGAAAGAAGGCTCAATTCCTCTTTCTCCTACTTGATAAAATCTAGAAAATTTCTACCTTTCAGAAGATGCGAAAATGCCAAACCTTCCTTCAACTCCACTGTGTCTTATCAAGATTTTACTTCTTCCTCAACCCTGCAGAAGGCCTTTTCCTACCACCCTTAAGTGCCAGCATGGACACACTAACCTCAAGCAGATGCCCCGACATAAAGAGCTTCTCAGAGACCTTTCAGATCATACACCGATCAACATCACGGTCACACCCAAACCAATGACTGTTTTCTTGCACAGAACTGCAGTCCAGTGAGAAATGTACTGTCAACTGGCAATACTCCAATCTTATCAAAAGTTTGTTCTTCAGATTAGGAACTAAAATGCCTGATGGTCAAACCTTTGAAAGCTTTCTCCAGTGCTTTCCTTCTGCCTCCCTGTCACCTGCATACCAGAACATGCACCTGTGCACACACAGTCTGTCGTATGTACACACATCCTTGAGTGTTTGCACATCACATCTTGTTTAGTGGCATCCATTTTTCTCTACTACAACTGCAGTCCAAACCAACCACTTCTGACTATTATATGCATAATCACACAGCGAAATGTGGCTAGAGGAAACCACATAACTATGTCCCCGAGTCTCATTTTACATCACTAATTTCAGGCGGCTCTTTAATGACACCACTTGATTCTCAGTTCACTTTTAATCACACTCCTAAGAAAACAACTGCATAACTTTAGCTTTCTCTTCAAAGCTTCAATAGTGTCTCACCTTTCCCCATTCTTAGTTCATGATGCTGTAAACAGAAGGTCAACAAGCTCCTACTGGCATGTCTACCCACCTCCCTGCTTCTACAGCCAAACACTCCCCTTCCTGTCGTTGGGAAGAATCAGCCCCCCGTGTGCAGAGCTCCCAAAAAGCAGCCTTCTAGAGCTCGCTCAAGGACACTGCTCCAACACTCCTCCAGTCTCTCATATTCCCACGACTTTCTCAATGGATCATTCTTACCAGGATACAAATTATTCACCCCATCTTAAAAAAGGTAAAGCCTCTCCTGAACTTATAGCCCCTTCAGCTACCCACTGTTTTCTAGAGAACAGATCTCTTCAGAAAATCGATTTCTATTTTTAAAATTTATCTATTTTTACTGCAAAGTCAGATATACAGAGAGGAGAAGAGACAGAGAGGAAGACCTTCCATCTGATGATTCACTCGCCAAGTGACCGCAATGGCCGGGGCTAAGCCTATCAGCCAGGAGCTTCTTCCAGGTCTCCTATGTAGTGCAGGGTCCCAAGGCTTTAGGCCATCCTCAACTGCTTTTCCAGGCCACAAGCAGGGAGTTGGATGGGAAGTAGGGGCGCCAGGATTAGAATCCCAGCAAATTTAGGATGAGGACTTTAGCTGCTAGGCTACAGTGCTGGGTCCAGAAAAGCTACTTCTCAGTAACTTCTCCCATGAGCTCCAGATCCTATTCTACATGTCACTCATGCTTTTGCGAGTCATAAAAGCTGCTCTTTTCTAGGTCTGTCATGGCCTCCCCATCGCCAAATCCCAAGGTCAGTTTTCAGCTCTCCTGCTGTCTGATCTCTCTTTCCTACGACGGATACATTGTTCCTTCACCTTCCAGAATACTGCAGACACAGGGACTTCCCCCTCTTGCTCCAGCTGTGTTTTCTCAGTAGCCTCTACAAATTCTTTTGCACATCACTGGCCTTGAAATGCTGTGGTATGCCAGAGTTCAGGGCTAAAGGTCCCCGGTGATTGCAGAGACTCTAATGAGTGTGATGCTCTCATGGAGCTCAGCTTTAGCTGTCTTCGATACATTGATGCTCCCAGGCGAGCCTTGCATTTGGATTCTAGATATTCTCTGCGACTACCCGTCCACTTAGCTGTCAGGCAGGCATGCCCAAATACACTTGTCGCTGTTTTAGACTCTGACCTCTCCTCGAGAAGCTCAAAACTCTTCCATTTTAATATACTGTGACTCAATTCTTTCGGGAGCTCAGGTGAAAAATGTGTGGCCTCATGCTTCATGTCTCACTTTATATAATCCACATCAACACTGCCAAAAGCCTACTAGTGAAACCTCAAAAACATAAACAGGTTGTCCAAGTATATATCCCCAGCTTGGCGCATGATTGTCCTCAACTCTAACCATTCTTTCATTCTCTAACAGCCACTATTCCTGCAAAGGGAAAAACCATCAGAGTTGTTGGTGAAGGCAGATGGAACCTGCCAAGGGATCTCTGAGCCCCTGGCATATCTTATACCGTTGCTTTTTCCTCTTCCCTCAGTGCCTCCCCAGGGTCCAGTATCACCTTCTGTCAGGCAGGGAATGAGCCCAGATCATTTGCAATCCTGACAGTGGTTCTCACCTACCTACAGAGTTTTCTAATACCTCTATGACACAGTGGTACTCAAAAGAATTTGTGAAAAATTACATAACTAAAAGTTCACTTGGGGATGAGAAATTCTGAACTCCATGTATTATTTTCTAAGACTAAGTTCCTCATCATGAATATTTTGAAGATCCTATCCTTCAGTGCATAATTTAAAAAATCCGGGGCACTGATACAAAAACTCTTCTTAATTCCATTTTCCATGAACTTTTCTTAGAAACTATTAAGTGATTTTTTTCTTACTTGGCTCATTTTTATATACCATCTCTTCTTGGAGTTACTTTTAGAAATACCTAATTAGGACAGGATCAGATGATTCTTAAATAACGAATTAAAAAATATTAGGTCCTCACCTACTTAGATGGCTTTTAATAGCAAACAAAGTAAAGCAACCGGAATAGGAACTCTACAGAAGCCAAACAGGACTAAGCATTTTCAGTTAAGGGACAGCACTTACCCACCACTGTAACAGCAGGAACAAAGGGAAAAATATTAGAGGTAGGAAAGTGGTTACATTACACTTCAAGAAGTTTAATATTTTACGTTTATATGTTGTTTTGGCTAAGAGCGACTACTAGGAAGTTTTAACTTTAATAGTTTTCAAAAACACAGTCGTGGAGAACCACTAGTTTTCACCATATTTGCGTAAAATCCCAGGACTGTCCTTTAAAGGAAAAAACACCAAAACACCAAAAGCGAGCACATACCCCTGGGGATTCTCCCCGTTCCTTGGCACGTGGGACACGTGACACTGTCTCTCCCCGTGAACTCCACGTAGGGAAACTGGGACACATCCCCGTTCCTCCCGTCGTCGCTGTGGACTTCGTTGCTAACCAGGCCGTTCCTCATGTTCTCAGCTGATGCGAGGCCATCGTAAGCATCCTCTTTATTTGAATGCAAAGGCAGATGAGAGAGAGACTTCCCCATGACTTCTGAAACAAAAGAAGATCTTCCTGTAAACCTCAGGAGAAAGGTGCGGCGCCTAAGAACTCCGCGAGGTACGCCAACGTCATGAATTCAGGACCAACTTCGAGAGCGTGTTCAAAGCACTTTGGGGATTAGAATTATATTCAATCAGAATGTCTGGAACAAGGAGGTCATGCCCTAGGCTCCAGAAACAAACCGTGATGAAACAATGGCCCATGTAATGGCAGGTAACATGGGACAACATGCTAGGCCTTCCCAGAGTGCTCTGCACAGAAGTATGGAGCCATACTTCCGTCACTACATATATATACTATATTTACATAAAAATATAAAAACACATCCATACATATTCATATCATACATACGAATATGTATAAGCATTAAATATATCTATACCTATTTATATTTTATGTAGAATAATTGTATATATATGTATATATATACACACACACACATACTACTTATCACTAAGGACAAAAACTTGCTTCGGGCAGATGACAGTGAGGAACTACACACACTGTCCGGGAACATCAAAGGACTACTTTCCAGGCATCTACGATTCACACCCCTTTTTGACAAAATCCACAATGCTTCCTGTTTCACAACCTTCCTTAGGTTTCTCATTGTAACCATTTAAATACTTGTAATAACAAAGAAACACCCCAAATTATGCAGAGATTCATGTTTCTTTTAAAAGTCTCATTTATTAGAATAGTGATATTCCAAATAATTCATTTCGTCCAGAAGTATGAAGAAAAGTTAGTTTTTTTTTTTAAAGCTAGCCAATCAGCCATTTCTTGCACTTACTCATAGCGTTAAGAACAGATTAAGAAAAAAAAAAAAACCTGTACAACTGGTATACAGACTTAAAAGTGTGATGAGAATAGATGTTTGTGTTTCACCACATCCTACACATCATCCTGTCAGGCTCTAAAACAATAGCTTATGACTTGTATACAAGTATGATTTTGTTGAGTAACGTCCCGCCGGTCGCAGGTGCCTCCGGGCGACTAGCATCACTGTCCACGCAGTCTGTGGCCTTGGGACTTCTCAGCCAACACACAGCCTGTGAGGGACATCCCTGACCCAGGGCTCGAGAAAACAACACCCCAGCAGGCCAAGGGCTTGGATGTGGGCTTCTTTCCTCTTTTATGCAGACAGCCACTTTGACTGTTTGGGCAGGTGTTTGGGCTAGCGCCAGATCTTGTCAGGTACTGGAAAACTCTGTTACCCCGACTAGATGTTTTCGGATAGGTTTTGCTACCTTCCAATGTTGGGGGCGGGGGCGTTTTTTCTCCTCTCCGTGCGTACAGACAGATGCATATATAATGACAGTGCCCTAATTTACTAGACGCCAGCAGAGATCTCAGGTTCAACCAGGGAGCACTCCACCCCATAGAAATCGGGGCGGGTACCAGGGGCTGAGCTCCGAAAGGGCTGCCGAGACGGAGGAAGAAAACCTGCGTCTTTCAAGAAGATCCTGGAGCGAGCAGCACCCGGCTCACTGCGCAAAACATCATCAACACAGCGATCCGGGCGGGGGCACGGGGGCCACCTCAAGCTCCCGGGCAGCAAGCAGGAGGAGCTGGCATCGCCTCGGCCGCCGGCCCCGCGCGCCTCCCCGGCAGCCTCCCCTCCTCCACCTCCTCCAGGCCCGGCAGGTCCCCAACTCCGCGCACGGGGCCCCGGGGGGCTGCGCGTCCGGGGGTCGCTCACCGGCACGCGGGGGGCGCTGCGCAGTCCCGGGCGGGCTCCGGCGCCCACAGGCCGGAGGACAGGCTCACCGAGGCCGCAGTCCCGGCTGCGGGGCGGGGTGCAGCGAGCGGCCTAGAGCGCCGGGCGGACACCGAGTCCGGTCGGGGGAGGGGCGGCACTGCCAAGGCCTCAGCCCGAGTCGGGCGGTGCGCGTGCGCACGGCGCTCCCGGGGGGCGGGGGCGCGAGGCAGCGGTGGGGCGGGGGGCCTGGCGACGCATGCGCCCTTCCCGCCCTGCCAGGCGCCTGCGGACGCCGCCTCCTGCGAACACGGGACTGGCAGGGTTTGCAGAGTGTCACGTGCCTAAGCCTGTTCTGGCAGTCACCTTGGCCGGTACAGCCCTTGATGACTACGGAATGATCCTCACCACCAACCCCCAAAACCCAAATCAGGAAATTCTGGCAGCAAGAAAGCCATACCTCTTTTAGCTTAGAAAGTTTTACTCGCGAGAAGGAACCCGCGGCCAAGCAGGACCTTCGCGGTTTTCCTTCCTTCTTTCCTTCTTCCCTCCCTCCTTCCTTGTTTACATCTATTTGAACGGCAGAGTGACAGAGAGAGAAGCAGACAGCTCTGTGCGCTGTTCCATTCCTCAAATGCCCATAACCTCGGGTACCAGGAACCCCATTCCCCAGTCCCACATGACTGGCGGGGACCCACAGATTCCATCCTGCACCTGTTGGAAATTCATCAACAGGAAACTGGATTCGCAGCAGAGGAGCCGGAAGTGCAGCAGGCCCTTGGGTGTGGCCCGTAGGTGTTCCAAGCACGCCTTTACCCCCTAGGCTACAGTGGCCTCCTCTGTTTTTAATTTTTGTTTTGTTTTTTTGTCTGTGCTTTTATACGGCTCTTTGCTGCCTCTTTCCAAACTTCTACTCCAATTAACTTCGTAAGGAGTCACGGAGAGTCTCATCAGAGTTCCCCAATTCGTAACTGAGTCTCTTAACGTCGCCCAGCTTAATGTACGTCGCCTGGTAATAATACTTGGCTGTTTTGAGCGGCCCACAAGATATGTGAGTTATCAGCTGTAGATTCTGCCTGCAGAGTAACAAACACGTAGACACTGACGAAGGGAATGGTGGAGTTTTAGGATCAGTGTGTTTGGCCAGTGGAATATGAAGACACTTAACGATATGCAAGTAAAAACAATATTCAGTTTAATATGGAAAATGATTATGTGTTTAGGTGATATAATAGATCTTTTCACCCAAGGTTGGCAAAAATATATACATCCCCAAGTTTTCTAGCAGGCAGGTGATAAGTGTTAAGACTAAATTAAAATTGTTGTAATCCAGTAGTCCCTCTTTTTGGAATATGTAACAATGTATGACATGTATAACACATTAATTCTCTGTAAGACAGGGTATAACATATTTTAGTAGCATGTAGAATGTTCATATTTAGAACATAGATAATTGAATATTGGTCTGTCTGCCTTAGAATTGAGATGTACAAATACAGACATCTGCTGTTGGATGCCATGTTTGGTTTTCCTTATATTCATTGTTGAGTTGGCATCCTTTTCTGTAATTTATCATGTCTTACTCTTCCATGGAAAAAAATTACTGCTTTTGTAAATTCTGTTAGGATGTTTGGCCAATGTTTTCTCAATCAATTTCATCATTTAACTTCAGGCTTCCTGGCCTTGAAGTACGGTGCTTATCCAAATAACTGATGTCAACTGAAATAATGAAAAATCCAGTTGGAAAATCAAAGTTAAACTTTACTCAGTGAGTCAGACTGAGGGTTTAAGCCCAGACAGAAGCAGTTAGCTGCTTGAGTTGGCCATTCTACAGCCTGGGCTTGATTACAGGGTTTGTGTTTTTCTTTTGGGCTGGTGTTTGCACTGAGGCAGGTTAAAGCAAAACCAACATACGTGTGATTGTCAGTCATATGGAAAACTGAAAGATATCATCTTAGAGTTAACAGCCTTGATTATTGATTAAACTGTGAGGAGGAGTGTGCAATGGCATGGCCCTGTTTAATCAATAATCGAGCTTGTTAACACTGGGGTTGTTGGTCATTCTTCTGAACTGGCCCTAATGCATAAAACTCACTCTCCTGAAAAGCACAAGGTTTCCTTGGTCAAGGTGAGGTTTTGTTGGCTAGTGTGGCAGCCTGGGGACCAGCTGAGGGTGCCTGGCTAGGCTGACTTAGGCTCTGCAGTCACCATTCCACTCTTATGTCCATACTGAAATTCTCATGGGAGAATTACTCATGACTTACATTGCTTACTCATCTTCCCATGAGTAAGTCCCTGCGTAAAGAAGTTGAGTGGCTTGGTTAGACTGGCCACCTTGGCTGAGAAGGAACCCATTCTGAGTGGGATATACCTAACGTCTGTGTATGGTGGGCAAGGTGATTTTCTTTGTGTTGACTGATTTTCATGGTCTGCGAAATTAAAGTAGTAAGGCATAATTAGGATCTGATCCCTGTAGTGAACTCATATGGGTGCCTTACATATGGGACCTTATGGCAACTCTTGTGCACAGGACAGTGAACTATTTTAGACAGATATTGAATGCTTGGTATCTGCATATTTATATCATTAAAACATACTTGGGAGGGAAAACTTCCTGAAAATTTTCCAATTATTAGATTTGCAACAATTTCCTGAATTATGAGTTAAGTCCTACTCTATGAGGAGGTGATTCTCATATGCTGGGATACCCTGCAAGTGTTCACAAGGACTGGCTAGGCCACAGCTGCAGGTGGAAGCTGCATACTCAGCCCAGATCTGCTGGGTCACACTGCAGACGCTCCCAAGGACTGGCCAGGCTATAGCTGAAAGCTGCAGACTCAGCCCAGATCTGCTGGGTCACACTGCAGATGTTCACAAGGACTGGCCAGGCTATAACTGAAAGCTGCAGACTCAGCCCAGGTCTGCTGGGTCACTCTGCAGACGCTCACAAGGACTGGCCAGGCTATAGGTGGAAGCTGCAGACTCAGCCCAGGTCTGCTGGGTCACCATTGCAGATGCCTTCAGTGGCCAGCACTGGGCCAGGCTGCAGCTGGAAGCTGCAGGCTCAGTCCAGGTCTGCTAGGTCACCTTGTAGACACTCACAGTGGCCGGCGCTGGCCAGGTTACAGCTGGAAACTGGAGGCTTATTTCACGTCTGCTAGGTCACCTTGCCCATGCTCACAGTGGCCAGCGCTGGGCCAGGCTATAGCTGGAAGCTGCAGACTCAGCCCAGGTCTGCTGGGTCACCCTGCAGACATGCACAGTGGCCAGCACTGGGCCAGGCTGCAGCTGGAAGCTGCAGGCTCAGTCCGGGATGTTTGTGGGGTGGCAGGCAGAGAACTATCACCTGCTGCATCCTAGGTTGGACATTAGTGATTGGAATCAGTAGTGGAGCTGAGATTCAAGTGCAGGCATTCTGAAAAGGGATGAAGATATTCAAGTGGCATCTTAACTGCTTTGTCAAACTCCATGCAAAACTGATTTTAGACACTGGCTGTAAAATAGCTAAGCATTAATACAACAAAGGAATGGATTAGAATTGATAAATAAGGCTATATGTAGAGCTTTAGCACTTTTTTTTACAGGCAGATTTACAAACAGAAGAGGACAGAAAGAGAGGAAGTGAAATTCCACTGCTGATTCACTCCCCAGTGGCCACAAGGACAGAGCTGAGCTGATCCAAAGCCAAGAACCAGGAGCTTCCTCAGAATCTGCCATGTGGGAGCAGGGACCCAAGGATAGGGCCGTCCTCCACTGCTTTTCCAGGCTGTAAGCCAGGAGCTGTATGGGAAGTGGAGCAGCCAGGAAATGAACCAGCACCCATATGAGATGCCAGTGCCACAGGCAGAGGATTAGCCTGTTCACTGCCAATGTGCCGGGCCACACTTCCATCATTAAAAAAAAAACACACACGTTTATTTGCTTATTTATTTGAAAGACAAAATGACAAAGAAACCAGGAGAGAAAAAGAGAAATAGAAACTTCTTCCATCTGTTGATTCACTCTCCAAATGGCCGCAATAGTCAGGACTGGCCCAAACCAAAGCCAGGCATCAGGAATTTATAAGAAGCAGTAATTATGAGCTAAATGGGCAGGATTCCGTTGTGGAAATCAGAAATGTTTGAATGAATTATTTTTTAAAAATGTTTGCAGCTTTCTCTTTTCCTATATTAAAACAAATTTATTTCAAAACTGATTTTACACTGAAGAGAGTTATTATTTTCAATGTTTGTGAAAGAAAATGTAACTTGGATAGCCTTGATTTTTGACCTTTAGGGTTTTAATCAAAGCTGCCCCCAGAGCCACCAGTGGAAACGTGGTGTGGAGAGATCTAAGCAAATTTAGCTCTACATGGCTTGTCATTTCAAACATATGAACACCCTAGACATATGTACAATGCACATAATAAATTTAGGTTAATCCACTCAATTCATTTAAAATTTTACACTTTGTCTCAGTGGAGTTTCCATAAAAAGACATCTTATCACTTTTATACCTAGGATCTCCTAAGCTGAACATATTTTGAAATATCCATTTAGAGCCTATAGTTAAGCAAATTTGTGCCTTTTAAAAAATTATATATTGAATATAAGATTGGGATTGGGACCCGGCGCAGTGGCGCAAGTGGTTAAAGGTCCTCACCTTGCACGCCCGGGATCCTATATGGGCGCTGGTTCTAATCCCAGCAGCCCCGCTTCCCTTCCAGCTCCCTGCCTGAGGCCTGGGAAAGCAGTCGAGGACGGCCCAAAGCTTTGGGACCCTGCACCCGCGTGGGAGACCTGGAAGAGTCTCCTGGCTTCAGATCGGCATAGCATTGGCTGTTGCGCTCACTTGGGGAGTGAATCATCGGACGGAAGATCTTCCTCTCTGTCTCTCCTCTCTGTATATCCGCCTTTCCAATAAAAACATAATAAAAATAAATCTTTAAAAAAAAAAGATTGGGATTGAAGTAGAAGGGAAATTGGCAGTATCTGGATATTTTCCTGTGTGTGTTATTCAAGGTGCCTTTTTAGTTTTTCAGTGTTCCATAATCCTGCTCTCCATTAACAGGGAAATATACTGATCTGTACCTCTTCCTCCAAAGAAGTGCATACCCCAGTTTTTCTAAAGGTTTCTATCACAGGAGGCATGCAAATTTCTGC